GTGTGTGTGTGTGTGTGTGTGTGTGTGTGTGTGTGTGTGTGTGTGTGTGTGTGAATGCCATTTGAGTGTGTTATAGAAAAATCTTACCCCTCAGTTTCTCTCCCCTCATTAGGTGGAACAACCACTGAGATCCAAAAAATGTGTATGGCAGAAGTTGCTGTCCAAGCAGAGGAAGCGCGCCGTTGTCGCCTGCTTCCGAATGGCTCCGCTTTACAATCTGCCGAGGTATGACTGCGGCGTAACAGTTAAACCGACATTGTTTAAACCTCCCATCGTTGTCTCCAGGTCTCCGAACATTTGAAGCAGCTTTGTAATGATGAAACCAAGGTGACGCTCCAGCAGAGGGTAGCACAGACCTTCCCGTGGTACCGGTAACAGATAGGAAAATGCTGCAGAAAGGGCATCCACGCACTCTGCCATCACACTTTCTCCTTCTTCTGTCTGACTCGCTCTCTCTGACCCTGCGTTAATGCGTAGCCTCCCCTCGGTTTGTAGGACAAATGTCTCGCCTATAGCTGTTATCAAAGAGTAAATAAAAACATTTTTAAAAAAAGGGACACAAGCAATTTCACGCCCTGCTGCTCTGTAACTCAATCACAGGAAGTCGGGCAGGGTGCTACAGTCAGGAGGAAAACAATTACGAGGCCCAACCTCAGGGTGGCCGTCCTCAATATGTTCTCAGACGATGCCACCCGCCTGCCTGACAGCATGACTCATTTATTCAGAGTTATTGACAGTGAAATATGCTGCAGCATAGCAAATAATTACTAGTTAGTATTTGCAGTGCGGGAGCAATGATTGTTTTTCTTCAGATTAATAGATTTGGGTTAGGGGGAAGTGTGTGATGGCATCTCTTCCAAAGTTTGACACATTCAGATGTCATTTTTCTCTATTGTGTCTCTGTTCAGTCTCTATTCTCTCCTCAGTGTCACATTCTATTGTACGTCGTCCCCTTAGGCACAAAAATAACAATTACTTCCTGAATTCCTACCGGCACATTTGGCTGGAGATTATGCACGAGAGCGCAGACCGTGACAGTCTGCTCTCAATGCTGACGGTAACGTAGCGCTGATCTAATGCTGTTACTATGTGGCCTGCTAACCCTCGCTCTCCCCTCCCCCCAGAGGCATGATTTCTGCCACATTTTAGCTTTCCTTTTTCCACTGGTCCATGTATGTGCAACAATTTAACGAGCCACATTGTAAAGAATTGGTTCTCAGATGAGAACAATGATGCTACCCTTTCGACACCTCTTAGGTAAGGCTCTCCAGACGCTGCTGAGTTCACAGACAGAAGCAGTTGGCTTCAAGTCATTCGGAGTGGAAGCTACAAACACTACACTTGTAGCTGTGTGATGGCGTCTGACTCGAGGCGAATCAAACTTGAGCTGGCCTCAAATTTTTTACTCTGCCTGTGTGAGAAGAAAAAGAATGTAATGTGGGAATACATTATCTGCAGATTTAGGCCAGAAATAAACAAAAGGAAACAAAAACAACAAAAAAAGATTTCCTCACAGGTGGCCTGTTAGATCAGTGCTCTAAACTAACTGATATTAACCTCTCCTGAAGAGACTTCTACCATCCTTCTCTCCAACTTCTTCCATCCTTTGCTCTGCACATCTTTAACCCAGGCTTCTCTATTCTTACCCCTCCCTAGGCATCGCTCTATTAACCTCTTCCTCCTGGCCTATCAGAGAATATGGATAGAAACAGAAGAGTATTCTTTTGAAGAGAAACTAGTGCAGGACCTTGCAGTAAGTACTTGTGCTGTCCCTTCGGTGCCCTTATGTCGGCACCCATGTGCTGCGGGAGGCAGCGCGTAGCTCACACCACTCTCTTCAGTCATCCGCAAAGTGGTTTACAGCTAGGCCCATTTGTGGTAAGCATGACATCACTGCTGATGTCAGAGCCAGCAAAGTAGTTTGATCACTGTGGCCCATCCAAGCAGAGGCAAGAAAGCATCCTGTCAGGATGCTTTGACTTCCATTTAAAGTTGATGAAAGTTCAGATTCTTTCCTGGACTTTCATTTCCATTAAGCTCCACAATCAGGACAGCAGCTTACTGTTAGACATGCGATATATTACATGCGGCATATTGGAACAAACTAGGCTGTGTTTGTTTATTAAAAAAGAAACTTTTTGAATTTATAAAGATTTAAACTATAAACTTTCTTCGTAGCATATTCGTATCAATGTCTTACTGTATCTTTATATTACTGATGAAGTTACAGTGCAATAGATGAAGAATGTCAAGATTCAGTCAATCAGACGCACGTATTTATAAAAACATTTAAAAAACCAATTGTTCCAGTAAGTAAAATAATCATAAAATGGTTATATATGAGGGAAAACTGGGCTTGTGGAGAGTCATGCTTAACTCCACTCACCTTTAACGCTGCTTAACACCATCAGTCGTGTGTGTGTATTTGTGTGCGCTTGTACCAGCGTGTGTGTGTTTGTTGCATTTGCATGCATGTTTTGTGCATGTCTTTTTCTCCCATAGGAGTTAACAGTTGGACCTATTATGTTTTTCCATCATATGTATGTATGAGATAGAGATTTCTCATATTAAACGTAGCCAAAGTTTCAAATAATCAGCTCTGGAGATGTGCAGGTAATCCATGTGAGCCAAAAGCTTAGGCTTCAAATTCTTCTCTCACCCACCTGCTGTTCAAACCTTTAGTTTGTCAGGGGCAGCAAGACGATGACCTGAAGGGATCCACCAAGATCCAGAGATAATAGGATGTTGTGCTAATCATGTGACTCTGGGAATGAGCATAATAGGTCCCCTTTGACATGAACTTGTAAAAGAGTGTTGTGATACACATTTGTTGGGTTAAACGTTAGCCTGACTCATGTGGCTGTGTCCAGAAAATACAGCCTAAAGTGGAGGAAGAGGAGGAGGAGGAGGTGAGAAAGCAGCCAGACCCTCTTCACCAGCTCATTCTGCATTTCAGCCATAACGCTCTGACTGAATGCAGGTAAATATACTCTCACACACCTGGCCACCTGGCACTAACACAGGTTGCTCCATCTGTGCTACATAATTGTTTTGGCATGCTTCTCAGCTGCTACAGAGAGCAATAAGCGAAACCATCGTCATATTTTACACTATGAAGAAAACCGAAGCAGCTTTTCAGTGTTTCTCTGGTTTATTTGCTGCAGTGGCTATAAATGCGATCACTGCCACTTATTATGTACAGATTTACAGTAGAGATGTGAAATATACAAGGTTCAATAAACAGATATTTATCTCTCTTCTTTGTTAGTTCTCTGGAAGAGGATCCCTTGTATATTGCCTATGCAGATATGATGGCAAAGGTATCTCATTGAATCTCATTAAATTGCTCTTGTCAGCTTCTTAGCAGAAACATGCAGCTCTGATAGTCGTTTTTTTCTTCCCAGAGTTGTGCTGAAGGCGAAGAAGAGGAAGGAAGAGAGAAAACATTTGAGGTGCTCTAAATATTTGAGGGAATGTTGTTCAAGATTAAACTTTTTTTCTGTTTTCAATCATATTCAGAAGTGGTGCATGTCATAATGTCCTACAGGAAAAGGAAATGGAGAAGCAAAAGATGCTGTATCAGCAGGCCAGACTTCATGACAGAGGGGCTGCGGAGATGGTGCTTCAAATGGTCAGCGCCAGCAAAGGTAAGAAATCAAATGCCTGACCTGTCTGCCTTCCTGCAGTCTATGTGTTTAGATCAACGGTCATCTATGATCATCAGGTCGACTGGGTGCTACGGTAACTGTCACGCTCAAGCTGGGCATCTCCATTCTCAATGGAGGGAACATCCTGGTTCAACAGGTAACACGGTACTCTTCACGTCTAGTCTCTGCAGCTAACAGCTTCATCTTTTAGCCTGACTGTACTTTTCCTTTCATGCAGAAAATGCTGGATTATCTCAAGGAAAAAAGAGATGTTGGCTTCTTTAAAAGCTTGTCCGGACTCATGATGTCATGCAGGTACTGGAGCGATGAGGGATTAATACACAGTAAACTTGCTTTTTATTGCAGTTGCAGTTCAAACAGTTATCTAGTTTTCCTGACTCAGATCAGCCATTTTTTAACTTCCATTTTGACCGTTCTGCTTTACTTTCCCACAGCGGTAAATTGTTATCAATCAGCTATAACATTATGACCACTGACAGGTGACGTGAATAACACTGATTCTCTTTATCATGGTACCTGTTAATGGGGGAGATATATTAGAGAAGATTTTGTCCTGAGAGGATGTGTTAGCAGGAAAAATGGGCGAGTGTAAGGATTTGTGCAAGTTTGATAAAGGCCAAACTGTGATGCTTTGACAAATGAGAATCTCCAGAACTGCAGCTCTTGTGGGGTGTTCCCAGTCTGCAGTGGTCAGTATCTATCAAAAGTGATACGAGGAGGGAACAGTGGTGAACTAGCAACAGGGTCACTGATGCATGTGGGAGGCTATGGCTGGCTTGTGTGGTCAGGATGAGCTACTGTAGAGCAAATTGCCAGAAAAGTTCATGATAATTCTGAAATAAAGGTGTCAGAATACACAGAGCATCACAGGTTGTTACCTGTGCTTTGGCATAGCTACAGACCAGTCAGGATGCAAACTGAGTGTCAGAAATGGACCATGAAGCAATGGAAGAAGGTGGCTTGCTCCTATGACCAGGACACGTGGATGGGCCGGATGCATGCGTGGGATTAACTGGGGAACACCTGACATCAGGATGCACTATGTGAAGATGCTAAGCCTTTGGGATCATTTCTGCTGGGAAACCTTAGGCCCTGCCATCCATGTGGATGTTACTTTGACATGCACCACCTACCTAAGCATTGTTTCAGACCATATACACTCATTGAAATGATATTCCTTGAAGGCTGTGGCCTCTTTCACAGGATAATAATGCAAAATTGGTTCAGGAATAGTTTGAGGAGAACAACAACGAGTTTGAAGTGTGGACTTCACCTCTGACCTCCTCACTGCTATGCAGCATCTGTGGGATGTTATGGACAAACAAGTCCAATCCATAGAGGTCCCACCTTGCACTTTACAGGACTTAAAGGATCTGTTGCTAACATCTTGTTGTTCGATGCCACAACACAACTTCAGGGGTCCAGAGGAGTCCATGCCTCAATGGGTCGGGGCCGTCAAACAGTATTATACAAGTGGTCATAAAGTTATGCCGATCGGTTCATTTTCCAGAAATTCAGGTTACTTAAATCGTTTTTCTCTTTTGGCAGCGTCCTGGACTTGAATGCTTTTGAAAGGCAAAACAAAGCTGAAGGTCTGGGTATGGTAACTGAAGAGGGATCAAGTAAGTGACTAAAACACAGTTTTAGTGTTCCAATTCATTCTCGTCCCCTTTCTTGGAGACTTTTAATCACCTTAATAGGAAAAGCAACAGACGGCATATTTGCAAATTGGCAATGTGCAGCTTTATTTGTGCAGCAGATTGACCTTTATCTTCTTCCTCACTCCATCGTGGACGATGTCTCTTAGCAAACAACCGGTATTGTAACGTGTAGTGTCCTGCTTAGTCTCATTTTGCTGTTTTTCTTAAAATGACAGCCACAAGGTTAGCTTGGAAAAAAATCTGCTCTTTAGTTTGTTGTTGTACATCTCCATATCACGTGGGTCCTTTGTGTTACGTTGTCACATCATCATGCAGGCAAACATGTGCTACTGTATGTCTAAGTCCTGTCTGAGCCTCGTCTGCAACTTAAGAACACTCAGTTTGCATAAAAGCTCACTTTTTATAATCAGAGGTCTTTATTTAAACCGATGGGTTGCATACAGTATATAAATATGCTTTAACCATACATATCCCAGCTCATTTTCACCTCATAAGCTCAGGCATAAGTGATGGTAACTGCTAGTTTGGTCCTAAACACCAGCCCAATAAGCAGACTGTACTCTTTTTAAGACTTGGTACTGCATGCCAGTGTGAGTATGTAAAGATATATCTACAGCCCCATCACTCTCCTGTTCCTACTTCTTCTGATTGACTCTAAATGTCTTCTCCTTTGCTTATGTCTGCTTCTGTTTTGTTTGTTTGTTTGTTTTCTTCTGATCATGTTTTTATGTCATCGGTCGCAGTCAACGTGAGTGAGCGGGGTAAATACACGGTTTAGATTCTACTCATTCTATGAAATGCTGACATGTTGATTGCCTCCAGTTCAACTCCCTCATCCCTCTACTCATCCTCTACCAGCCCTCCCCCACTTCCCCCCCTTCCCTCATTCTGAATGCAATATAACCACCTTCTTTAATCTGGACTTGGAGGAACGCATGCATGCATCCTTTGACATCTGGATAGATTGTTTACAGTCAGCTGCCCCAAACTGACTCAGATCTTTCCACTTCTTCTTTTAAGCAAAATTAATGCTTGTTATTTTTGGACCCACCCCTCCTTTTTTTCCTTTTTTGATCATACTAACCAGCGTGTATTAAGCAATAAATCTCCCAAAGCTTTGTTTGTACTAAACAACAAAGATTTGCTGGTATTAAACAACAAGGCTCAGTTTGGTTCCTATTATAAGCCTTATTTTGATTGTGAGATGATGCACTATACCTCGTATGCGTGTGTGTTCCGAACCGTCAATATAGTGCACATAATTTGATGCCGTCTGACAACTAAACAGCAGCTTTATGAGGATGTGCAACAAGCTCTGATGCCTGTGCAGACATTAAAATGATGGGTGCTTGACCTTCCTGTCACTGAGGAGGACAGCTAATCTTATTTCCCGTCCTCAGGTTCCAAGGTACTGCAGAATGATGAATTCACTAAGGATCTTTTTAGGTTTCTGCAGCTTCTCTGCGAGGGACATAACAATGGTAGGTGGATGCTTTCCCATAAGCCAATATTAAAGCCATGCTGCCTCAAGCTGCATAGAAATGACTAGAAAATAAATTCCTATAGTATCTATCTGCAGGAAATTGGTGTTTAATCTTTTTTATCTTCTGTTTTAGATTTTCAAAACTTCCTAAGGACGCAGACAGGGAACACAACTACAGTCAACATAATCATTAGTACTGTGGACTACCTACTAAGACTGCAGGTATCACATTGTTACATCCAGAGCTTTAAATTTCAATAAAGTAGATATGCTATTAATTTTAGTGCTTTCTCTTTTAGGAATCTATTAGTGATTTCTACTGGTACTACTCTGGCAAGGATGTCATTGATGAGGCCGGTCAGAGGAACTTCTCCAGAGCACTAGCAGTGGCCAAACAGGTGTTCAACTCTTTAACAGAGTATATACAGGTACATAATCACAGCTCTCCACAGTAAAAGCTGCTTAAAATGTTCATTACAATATCTTAACGGTCTTTCGGCGCTTTAGTGACGAGAAAGGCTGCTTGTCATCGTCTGAGCGTCTCTTTTCGTCTCTGTTTTATGTGCTCCAGGGTCCGTGTATAGGGAATCAGCAGAGTCTGGCTCACAGCAGGCTGTGGGATGCTGTGGTGGGCTTCTTGCATGTTTTTGCCAATATGCAGATGAAGTTATCTCAGGTATGTGTTTGTCTGCAGTGACGCAGATGTGCCTTAACTTAAACAAACGAACTTAAACACTTGCTTGAGTTGTTTCATTCTGTGTTGACTAAACTGTTTACTTGTGTTTTGCTCATCTTTACTTTCACTGTGAAGGATTTCTGCTTCACATTGGAAAGCTGGTACTTTGCTGATTAAGATTTAATCCTATTATAAATGACTTGCCTTAAATTGACTCCACTTAACAAAATATATGGTGTAATGGCCTTTTTATCTTTAACTGAGAGGATTGTTTTTCTCCATTTTAGCAGCATATAGAGTACTATGGTATGGCCTGTATTTGTATGTACTACGCCAAAGTATTGTTTCTTTCTATTTGGCTTCCACTGAGCCGCTGTTCCTTAAAGTAGTCTTTGAAAATTTCTCTTTTTTACTCATTTGCTGTCGCGTTCTTATACCTAACCATGTTCAGTGGGGTTTTTTTATGTTAATGCTTAATGTTTTTCAGTCATGTTTCAGGAAACTACTGTACCTGTTTCCCATTTCCCTAAAAAAATCATGAAAGGAAGCGTACCTCAAGACTTTTGCACAGAAATGTAGATCTAAAAATAATAGGAACCAAAGGGATGGCAGTGTAAATAAACTAGCATATGTATAAGGTCAACCACCTGCTTGTACAACTACATTAAGTCAAGTGACAGTTTTTTAAAAGAAAATGGGCTGCTTGTTTTAATACATGCCTGCTTAGCTATAGTTAATAGTTGTTACATAAGTAAAGATTTGAAATAACGGCTTGTACAGATGTGGAAATGTGAACAGCCCTGGTGTTTTATTCGTTGCCACTAGAGGTCTCTCCAGGCTCATTGATAATCAGAAGCAACTCCAGTACAATTACACATGTTGTTCACCTCAGCTACATGATATATGACTCCATCATTGATATGTCCAATAAGCCAGGAGTGGGATGAAATCCACCCACCTAATCTTATCTCGTGGTCGTCACACAGGGGCTGGGTCTGACAGCAGCAGCCAGGATGAAGAAGAGCACAGGTGCATCAAAGTACGCTTCAGATTTATGGCACATTGAATACAAAGCCCATAGAGACCTTAAACGAGTCAGCCTGACCTCGCCATCTGTTCCTAGACAGCAAAATAACATAAACCCTGGTTGTGATGGATTGATGTTACCTAGAAGGACCTTCTGAGCCACAGCAGGGGCCATTTGAGGTCCCTACAATATTAAAGCCTTGATCTCTCCAACTCTCTCTGCATCACAGGGATATTAAAGAGCCTGGCTGTACCCTTACAGTTAGACTATCAGTGGTCTGTGTGACATATTGTACTATGACTCACCGCGTTTCCCCTTTCTGTCTTTTTTCTAACAGGACTCCAGTCAGATTGAATTACTAAAGGAGCTGCTGGACCTGCAGAAGGACATGGTCGTCATGATGCTCTCGCTACTTGAAGGTGGTTTTTAATAACATTATATAAGCTTTGTATGCTGGTACTTTCATAAATCGGATTTATTTGCCTGATATAATCAAATGTGTAGCAGAGCAGATTAGTCTGATCTGCATGGGGAAGTGTTTTTTTAATGAGTTTACTGATAAAATTTACCGCTTTATTGTCTCACAGGTAATGTTGTGAATGGAACTATCGGCAAACAGATGGTGGACACCTTGGTGGAATCTTCCAGTAACGTGGAGATGATCCTGAAATTTTTCGACATGTTCCTCAAGTTGAAGGACTTGACTACTTCGGACAGTTTCAAGGAGTACGACCCCGAGAGCAAAGGCGTCATCTCAAAGAAGGATTTCCAGAAGTCCATGGAGAACCAGAAGCAGTATTCTCAGTCTGAGATTGAGTTTCTTCTCTCCTGCGCCGAGGCTGACGAGAACGACATGTTCAACTACGAGCAGTTTGTTGAGAGGTTTCACGAACCGGCAAAAGACATCGGCTTTAACGTCGCCGTGTTGCTAACCAATCTTTCAGAGCACATGCCTCACGATGCCCGCCTCTCAACTTTCCTGGACCTGGCCGAAAGCGTCCTCAGCTACTTCGAGCCTTACTTGGGCCGCATTGAGATCATGGGCGGAGCCAAGCGCATCGAGAGAGTGTACTTCGAGATCAGCCAGTCGAGTCGCACGCAATGGGAGAAGCCTCAGGTGAAAGAGTCGAAGCGGCAGTTCATCTTTGACGTGGTCAACGAGGGCGGAGAGAGCGAGAAGATGGAGCTGTTTGTAAACTTCTGCGAGGACACCATCTTCGAGATGCAGCTGGCCTCTCAGATTTCAGAGCCAGACCCCGTTGAGCGCCCGGAGGAAGAAGAGGATGACATCCAGACCATGATGGAGAACCAGGAAGAGGAAGACGAGGAGAGCGCGATGATGGAGTCTTCCTCGGCATTTACAATCGCATGCATCTCCATGAAAAAGAGCTTGTGTCACTTCCGCCAGCTGCTTACTCTTAAAAGCATGCGGCGGCAATTCAGGAAATTCAGGAAGATGAGTGTGAAGGAGATGGTGCGGGGCTTCTTCTCCTTCTTTTGGATGATCATCACAGGCCTCTTTCACTTTGTTTACAGCCTAATTTGGGGATTCTTCCACATCTTGTGGACCACGATGTTTGGGGGTGGCCTCGTTGAAGGGGCTAAGAACATGAAGGTTACAGATATTTTGGGAAACATGCCTGACCCCACTCAGTTCGGGATCCATGGAGACGTGTTAGAAACAGAAAAGATGGAGGCAAGCGAAGCGTCAGCGTTGGCTGAGTTGGGTCAGATGGCTCAAGGGGAAGCAGCAGAGGCAGATCTGATGGCTGAGCTACTCAACATACAGCCGAAGAAGGAGGGCAAGCACGGGGCCGAGCCAGGTTTGGGGGATGTGTCTGAGGTGGTGGTGGGAGATGCCCCGTCAATAGCCAGTGCAGTCAAGCAGAAGAAGGCACAGGTTAGTGATTTTGTTCAGAAAATAGAAGAAGAACACACCCTTATTAGTAGAACCTGAATGTTAAAGTAATCTGCTGATTCCAGATGGCTGCAAAGACGAGGGCTGTGAACGGAGACTACAGATCTGATACAGAGAAGGGAGAGTGAGTGTAACTTGTTCATTGTTACCTACATTACCACTTGCATATGTTTATTTGAGGATTGTGTTAGATTAGTTTCACATAAATAACAGTTATCGTATCCATGCTTACTCCTGTGCTTGTCCCTTTGCTTAGTATCCACATTTTGTTTCTCCATATTAAGTATACATCTGTGTCTATGAACACAATTTGCTATTCTGTCTCTAATGTATAATTTATGCTTGCAGTTCAGAAGATGGTGAGAAGAAGGACCACGACAAGACTAGAGACGAAGCTCCTCCAGAGCTGTCAGTGGAGGAGAAGAAAGCCCCGAAGAAAAGGCTCGGCTTGAAGAAAGAGGCACCGGAGGCTTTCATGGCGAGCTTCTTCGCCGGCTTGGAAGTCTACCAGACTAAGATGCTGGTCAGATGTTTTCCTCACTGCAGTTTTAAGATCACAGCTGTTACATTAAGCACAAATACAAACTTGTTAGACATAAAAACAAAGATGATGATCACGATTACCTTTTCACAGAACTACCTGGCAAGAAATTTCTACAATCTCCGCTTCTTGGCACTTTTTGTTGCCTTTGCTATCAACTTTATTCTTCTCTTCTACAAAGTAAGTTTGGAGCTAAACTACCACTTTATATACTCACCTTAGGGTCCCGCTGTTTTGTAAGCTGGGTGTCAAATTTGGTGTCGTCACCTTTTAGGTGACCGGTGATTACTCGGATGATGAAGACCCCTGGAAGGGTCGAGGCAGAGCTGGGGAGGAGGAAGACGAGGGAGCGCTTGAGTATTTCGTCTTGCAGGAGAGCACAGGTTACATGGCACCAACACTTCGCTGTCTGGCAATACTACACACCATCATATCTTTCCTGTGTGTAGTGGGATACTACTACCTGAAGGTATGCACAGTTTTTTAAGTCTAATGAATTTGTTAAGCATTGGAGGTGCAAAAAGAAAACTGCACACATGTGGAGCATTAAAAAAATATCTTGTTTGGGTATATGTACATTTTATATTTCAGTACACTTGTTCGTTGTTAACCCATGCACTCACGTGCACACACACACACACACACACACACACACACACTGTCTCAGTGATGCAGCCCGATTTCTCGTGTGTTCAAGGTGCCTTTGGTAGTGTTCAAACGGGAGAAGGAGATCGCAAGGAAGTTGGAGTTTGCAGGCCTCTACATCACCGAGCAGCCGTCTGATGACGACATTAAAGGACAGTGGGACAGACTGGTCATCAACACTCCGTGAGTCTGCCTTTTATCAAACGACGAATCATAATCTTGTGCAAACAGAGGTTTAATTCTGTTTTTGTTTTTTTATCAGCTCCTTTCCCAACAACTACTGGGATAAATTTGTCAAGCGCAAAGTAAGTAGCTCATGTAATTTAAGTTTAATCTGCTGTGCACACAAGCTATAAATGGAATCTGGTTACACTTACTAAATGTCAGCTGCCGTGTCTCTTATATATTTCCGCGCGGCTTCTGTTTGTAGGTGATAAAAAAGTATGGAGACCTTTACGGAGCAGAGAGGATAGCAGAGCTGCTGGGGTTGGACAAGAGTGCCCTGGATTTCAACCCTACAGAGGAAACTGTTGCCAAGGAGGCTTCACTGGTGTCATGGTGAGAGATTGGGCTGATAAAAAGCAGACAGCCCAGGGCTGCTTGGAGTAAAAGTAGAGGTCAAACAGAAAATACGAGCCCTTCATATCAACTTTTCTCTGTTGCCAGGTTGAGCTCAATCGATACAAAGTACCATGTCTGGAAAATGGGGGTTGTGTTTACAGATAATGTAAGTTTAAAAATAAGTTTGGATGATTAATTGCTTTGTTTTGTCGTTTTATTGATGGTGGTTTACATTATTTGACAGCTGAGGAGGTTGATGGAGGATTTTATAGCAGGGCGAACGGCTTCTGATCCATTTTGTTTCTCCACCAGTCATTCTTGTATCTAGTTTGGTACACCACCATGTCCATCCTGGGTCACTACAACAACTTCTTCTTTGCCGCCCATCTGCTGGACATTGCCATGGGCTTCAAGACTCTCCGCACCATCCTTTCATCTGTCACGCACAATGGCAAGCAGGTGAGGAGGAAACACATACAGCTCTTCTATTGAACAGCAGGGGTCACTGCAGAGCTGGTGGTGAAACACATTTTTTGATCACAGTTTGCAGTGATGGCATTTGAAGTATGCCATTCAAAATGTGCTCAATTCTGCTTTCTGCACGCCCAAAACGGATTTCAGTTGAAATCATTTTAATGTTGCTTTAAATGTTAACACAGTTATTTTAATATTATGTATTTATGTCCTTAAAAAGCTACTTTAAGCGCTAAAAGAGCCAGGCTTGGTTTTATAATAGGTTAAAGCCAACATATTAACAAATATGATCTTTTTATTAGGCAGTTTCTCTTGTCATGATCTAATTGACCATTTAGGTCTAATTTGGTTCATCAGGTTCTGAGAAAAATGATCTCGCTTGTTGGCAGCTAATATGCAGGTGACATGAATCACAAATGTGTCATCTAGCAGATCCTGTATGTGTCGTGTGAGATAATTGGAATGTTCTCAGCATCCTTTGACATTTGAGTTCAAATGGCTCACATGGCTTAATTTAAATCCCACTTTGGATTGCCAGTTCTTCCAATAATTCCCATGTTAACTGACCAGAGGGACAAATCAGAATTTAATGTCACCTCAGTCTCCAAGGGTGGAAATGCACCAAAATGGCAAGGCCACAAGGAATCAGCGACATCTCCCAGACTCAGCCGTCTGTGGGCTGATCAATCACGCTGTCAATCTAAATGCGCTTTACGGCGTTGTTGCCTTTCAGGTTTACAACCGGCTGAGCTGTAGCTGAATCCATTTTTTATTATATGTGAAATAATAGACTCTTTTTTTGTATTTACTATAAATAAATAACTCGTGTGAGTTTTCTTATTGCACTAAACTTTCTCTTCGTTTCCACGCGTTTGAACTTTTCCCCTTCTCTCTACTCGCTCCTCTCTTGCTTTGTTGCAATTTTTTTATAGAAAACAAATGGAAGCCAGCAACTCTGCCCCTGCTGCGTCCATTGTGTGTCTAAAAGAAATACATAAATAGCAAAAAAAGAGCGAGTCTGTGAATGCAGATTTCATGTGTCTCTGTAGCTGGTGCTGACAGTGGGCCTGCTAGCTGTTGTGGTCTATCTCTACACTGTGGTGGCCTTCAACTTCTTCAGGAAGTTTTACAACAAGAGTGAGGATGAGGATGAGCCGGACATGAAGTGCGACGACATGATGACGGTAAACTGGAGTTACGCTTTCTTTTTTAAGGAACAGATTTGGGCTCGCTGCTTAAAATAAGCCACGACTTAATGCTCAGCCTCAGATTTCAATTAGACCCCCACCTGTGTTCCCGCAGTGCTACCTATTCCACATGTATGTTGGGGTAAGAGCAGGAGGCGGGATAGGGGATGAGATCGAGGACCCAGCTGGTGACCCCTATGAGCTCTACCGCATCCTGTTCGACATCACGTTCTTCTTCTTTGTTATTGTCATCCTCTTGGCCATCATCCAGGGTACATAAAAAAAAATCCCAATTTCAACCTTATTTCTCAGTAATTAGACGAACCCACAACATATATCCATTTAAATATTACAGTCTTTATGCTTAGGGTATGTATGTCATGCTCACAGCAGTTCCTTTATGGTTGCAGGTTTGATCATTGATGCCTTTGGAGAGTTAAGAGACCAACAGGAGCAGGTCAAAGAGGACATGGAGGTGAGAGGACAGATCATCATAACTTGCAGCACTGAAGGAAGTGGCAGGAGTGTAAATCATATAAAAGATGGACTTAGCTTATAGGTCTGTGAAGTGAAGCCATTGTAGAAGTCGTCCAGTGTGGCCACTCCGTGTTTGTTGACTTTGGTCATGTTGTGGATGATGTTCTGTGGATTCACGTAACGATGGTCTAAAACCTCTTCAAGAGACGGAACATCCAGAATCCTCTGATGGTGGGTCAGCGTGATGTCCTTCCAGATCTCCTGCTCATCCCACTGTCAGCTCTCGTCTCTGTTTCTGCTGCTCTTCTGTTGGCTGATTGTTGCCTTCCTGCTGTGTTTGGAGTGCAAATTCTACATTTTCCTGGTTCTCCGTCTCCTGCCTCCTCCTTCTAAACCTCCTCTTTGAAGGTCTCTTTTTTATGGATCTGGAGTCTGAGGGTCAGGGGATAGAAAAGTGGAGGGAAACCCGTGCAACACATTGTTGTCCTCCAGGTCCTCTGTTCCCCAGCATCCCTTTACATCTTCAGTCACATGGTTCTTCAGAAACTTCTTTAGGAGGTGAACTGTCTGTTGCCTAGTAACGTCGGGGCCAAGGCTACTGTTACAGAGCAGCTGGTGCAGCCAATCAACAGCAGCAGAAGCGGTGAAGCAGGAAGCATAGTGCCTGAAGTTCTATCGATGCTTCCTGAGGGGCATGCAAGCTCGAAACAAACGTGTCACATCATTCCACAGTTTTGTGGCTCTGCACAGTCCAGGACAAATAACATGAGAACTCATATTTATCACAGAAGGGCAGCAATAAAGTTTATCTTCATTCGATGTAGCGACAGGTAATATCCATCACTCGAAGAAATATTTATGCATGTCTCGCTACAGGCTTAAGGGCCATCAGGGGGCAACTGTTAAAAAAGAAGACTGGATGAGACTCCACAGTAACAGCGCTCGGCTCTCTTGTTCTATGACCTCAGTTAATACTCTCTTGGTGAGCAACTGTTTGTTTCACAGACTGCTGAAAACAACATGATGTTCATTTTTGCAAATGATTACACTCGTTACCATCTGAAACCGGGTATAGTTTATGATGGGCCAACCTCATATCTGGTAAGTTGCTTCGAAATAGCGAGACAGTTGAACACTCATAACAGCACCTCCCTAACCATTAGACGGCATAATCGCGCTCACGTCCACCTTTCATGTACGAATAGATTTAATGTAGATCTTCTGGAGATTACGGCCTTATTAGTGGACTCTTGTGTCTCGTCTCGTGTACTTGTCTCTTTTTTTTCATTAATATTTTACTTTGTCTGGGTTACTTTACCCCCTAACCCCCCTATTTGATCACGTGTTGAGTTTCAGAGATGTGACACATTTTTGTGAGCTCCCCATCTCTCTTGAGTATTTAAACAGTCACTGTGACAGGCAAGTGAAGATCAACGTGCACGTGGGAATATAAATATTAAGCCGAATTTTGGAAGCATACTTGTTGATGCATAACCTTGTCGCCTAAGAGAGGGCAGATAACCCTTAATGAAAGTGTCAATAATAAATAACTGTGTTATTTTCTCAGACTAAAAGGTCCCTGCAGAGCTTCTGTTGTTCATAGGCTGAGTGGGACTGAGCGTGATGAGTAACTTGACCTTAATATTGTAAAATATGTCCAATCTGGTGTTGCTTTAGGCAAACTCTTGTTTACTGTAGTTCATCAATGAAGCACAGAAAAAGAAGAAGGAAGCGTGCCTTCTAATTTTCATTTTCTGTCCTCAGACCAAATGTTTCATCTGTGGGATCGGGAACGATTACTTCGACACAACCCCGCACGGCTTTGAGACCCACACCTTACAAGAGCACAATTTGGCCAACTATCTGTGAGTATCCTTTTGATCAGTAGTGTTTTTAATGTTTTTTTGTTTTGTAATCATTGCAGTAATCTTTTACCATTCGTGTCAACGCTTTTCTGTAATTTAACCACATGATTGATGGCGCTAGCACGTTACTGCAGCATAAACACCAAAGTCACTAGTAGCAGCATTGATCCAGAACACTAGATCCCTTCAGGTATCCTTTCCATCTGTCTGTGTTTCCCTCACACGCACCGCTTAGTCGGCGTGTCTGAATAATACCAGTAACAATAGAAAGTCTCAGTCCATTTGCTCTCACAGTCAGCTGGCCGGAGGATATCAGAGCGACCTCATTATGTTGCTTCATTACTATTTAATGCCATGAACTTTATTGGAAAATAGGTTTGTGATAGCATGCTCTCATTCAGTATTCATTATGATTTGGCATGCTGCGATGCCCATAGAGATACAGCGGCTCATTGCCATTTACGCTCGATTTGGGGAACAACAGGTGATTCTGCGATAGAGACGAGGTGGTGTAACTTTACTTAGACACTAGCATCGGGAACTGTGACACCCGGAGAGTTTGACATTTACGTGATTAGTGTTGCAAAAATCAAATGTGTCACAGAAAAGCTTCTCATGTCCCTGCTCTGGGCTTAGATACAAGACTGCGATTCCCCTTTAATATCTTTTTCTTTGTTCTCGTTTTTCTTATAAAGGTTTTTCCTGATGTACCTCATCAACAAGGATGAGACAGAGCACACTGGACAGGTAGAAGACTATTTTACCCTGATTAGCTTAACCCAATATTTCTCCTCTTACTGTCAACACCTATTTTGGTTTATTTGTTTTTTCATATCTGCCCATATTGTGGTGGAATTAAAGTGTTGTTTGATACTCTGTGCTTTACATAATATTAATTAAGGTCATTGTACTAAGCACATAGAGATTCAATTTTAGGTCATATTTGTGTGGATAAAGTGGTAAGATTAATACTGCTCAATAACATTTCAAGTAGGTGCTCATCTACTAGCTAACTGTTTTGCCTCTCTTAGATGAGACAGTAGCTATGTCCCAATTCATAGGCAGCATCCTCCGAACACCGAGTTTAATAAACTCAGCCGTCTGCTCCTCACTCGCTAATATATAACTTGACATTGGAGTAAATTCTCGACCATCTCACACTTCTGTTAATCAGTTTTCTGTTTGACGTTTATTTAGCTGTAATCTCAGCTGAACCGATTTACTCAGGAACAAATAAAACACTGAAAAAAGCCAAACAATAACATTTTTCATTTATCTGAGTGACTTAGTTACATGTTTAACCTGAGTAGTAAAAGACCGCGGGGGATCTGAAAGCGATGTGGCGGGAGTCCGCTGTTCTCGCCGGCTCCAGTGAGCCTTGAACCCCCGGCTAGCTATTGATCTGGAGGGTAACAGACGTCTCCGAAAACATTGGAGCACTTTTGCAAATATGTGATGTCTTGATAAATCGAGCAGATATTTGAAATTTACACAGCTACATTCTTGCCTGAGAATATGTTAAAAGTTTATTTTGTGATTACAGAAAGAGTAATCAGAGTAATATTAAAACTAAGTAGCTGCCGCCATTGTTGGAAACTGGAATCGGCTGGGCCGCGCTATGAATTCTGGGGTAGGGTACAATCCTTCAAATTCGGGGAAATGAAGGACGCATTTGTCGACCGCGTTTGGAGCAGCCTTCAAATTGGGACGGCCTTCGTCTCCTGGCTGTGACGTAATCAGCCTTAAAATGAGGTGGCCTAGGTTTTGGGACACAGCTAGTATACTCACTAAATACCAAAACTGTTCTAATGATCTTTCTGTTGATACCTTCACTTGGTATTAACTGCATGTTAATACCAAGTATACCCATTTCAGCTCATTAACACACCTGTAATTATGTAATGTTTAAATTTTGGATATTTAAGTTCAAAACATTCAGCCTTACTTTAGGCAAGTTAAAGATTTCGAGCTAAACTCTGACGTTGGCTTGTGTCCAGGAGTCCTACGTGTGGAAGATGTATCAGGAGCGCTGCTGGGACTTTTTCCCAGCTGGAGATTGCTTCCGCAAACAGTACGAAGATCAGCTTGGGTAGAGCAGATGCATCCTCCTTACCTCTATCTACGTGGCCTGCTGGAGCATGTAGTCCCACCTACAACTGCTGGAATACGACACACACTCCCACACTGGTTTGGACTGGTGTGAGGAGAGGCAAATGAAAATGATGTACCCTGTAACTGTCAGTACAGCACCCGTCTATGAGGAAATGACCTACAACTTGCCCAGACATTTAGGTTTTCTTTTAGTTTGGGGGACTCGTTTTTGACAGCGTGTTGCCTTTTACTCCACATAACCCCAAATCATTGCACAATTTTTGTTTTCTTTTGGTCTTTTTGAGAAATATTGGGTTGTGTGGGGTTATGGGGACAATGTGTGAGTCATATTATGCACAATATATGAATGTTGAACTTGAGACTTAATGCCAAAAGAAAAGCAGTGGAGTATAGTAGATATACATAGTGCGCAAAAATGTGATTTAAGAAAAGATTTTTTTCCGTCAGATGTTGTAACATTTATCTATCGAGATGGAATCTGTAGGATGACGTGACAAAAGGTTTATTGTGTAGGATTTATTTTTTAAAATGCCTAAAGTTCTTCATGAAGTGCCTTACAGTACTGTATCTACATTACAATGAAGCTATGCAAAACTTTTGTTTCTTTTCTTTATTGTATGTAAGTACAGTAGTTTTCCTGGAGCAGTAACAAGTAGCTGTCCAGATATGTAGTTTGTGGCTGAACACTTTCATTTGAACGTGGAAGAAGAGCATTGGGACGATTTCTTTTGTTGCTGAATGCAGCGTAACTGCAAATGTTCAAGATACACAGTGTATAAATGACACAACAGAATTTCCTGAAGACTTTCAAACAAGAACAGAAAAAAAATGAATTGCTATTGTATGGCCATTTGTATGTAATAGCTTTGCTGATCTGTGCATTTCTTTTGATGGAAAAAAAATAAAGAAATTGATGCAAGAAACGTTTGTGTTTACATTGTGGTTGTTTATTTTTCAGATCTTTGAATTTATTTCTTAAAGCAATTAAATAAAAATATATCTCCAAGTCTAAGATCTCTGAGTCATATCAGACACGTACATTTCACACACCCCAAACCTCAAAGCTATATCATAACTCTGACCTTCCTGTAGCTTTTAATTATGATTTAGTAATAAACAAGTAATGGCCAAGTAGGTGCGTACTTCTGGTGGGTTAGAATGGCAGGACGGGGCCTCAGCAGACTACATGATGGGAGTTTTAGACCTATTACCCATGGTGCCAGCTGTCAGCTCACATCACGTCACCACACCTTGGGCGCCACACAGTGCTGAAGCCTGCCGCTGAGAGCAACTCTACCACCTCAGCTTACAGCTCTGGCATTCTGACTATTTTGTATGGTCCCAGCATGTTGTGTGTGTGTTGTATTTTTGAAATTAAAACGTGACCCATCACTATCGGTCTTTCTACTGAAGACTATTGCAAAGCAACAATAAAAAGCTATCATTACCTCCAATTGTTTTATAAAGCTGCTCTTGTCATAGTGCAGTAAATATTTAACATGCAGTGTTTTGAGTGGATTAAAGCAAACGCAGTCTCTGAGCTAACTCAGTTTAAAGCTTCGTATGTAATGTCCTGTGCTCTAAAAAGCAAATGGGCTCCTACATTATTTAGCATATTATGCGGCTATAAAGGCAGCAGAAGAAAACTGTAATGTGCAATATCAGTGATGACTTCCATGTGAAGCAGAGCCAACATGAATTAGCAACAATTAAGCCATTCGTGATGACACACACAGAAACACACATATGACAAAGTCGTGTTACCAACAAACAACTAAGTTATAATGGGTTTCATGCATATAGAGACTGATTTGTTTCTGGCTACCACTTTTTAAAAACTCATAAATTTATAAAACTTATAATTTGGTTTAGGTCAAGTAAAACTGATATGACAAATAGTCTACGTCAAGAAATTTTAACTGAGCTTAACTAACCTTGAGCTAGTAGAAAGGAAAGGAACTAGTGTGCTGCAAAAGAAGGTTCAGGGTCAAAGCGGCAATAAGGAAGTCTGTTCATATTTAACCTTAGCGTTAGCATGATTCATGAGTAGTGTAAAGTGCGTAGAATCAAAACAACAAGTTAAACACTTAAAGTGAGAACAACACTGCCTATTTTGGGTCACTTTTTCCGGTCCAAAGCCAGATAAAGGAGGAGGGATGGAATTGTGACATTAAAAAAACAATAACTACTGAAAGAAATTTAATTTGTAGTTCTAAATATCCATCCATCCAT